CCGTTGCTGGTCGCGGTATGGACGCGACACTGAGGGTTGCGATCCTGTTACCGGTCATGAAAAAAGAAAAAAAAAAGAAAGAAACATGATTTCCCAACTGAACTAATTCAGTTGATGTATTAATGGACTGGACCTCAGTTAATGACTTAGAAGACCTTAAGTAGAAGAACTTAGCACTTAAGTAAAAGAAATATCTAAGAAAATTGAGCAAAAGTTAAAAGTATTCTAAATGGCTTGTAGATGTGGGGAAATGAAAGTTCTGTTGAAATAGATTTATTTTGAAACAATATTAGTCATTTTTGTGCGATTATGAAACAGCATAAAGGCAAATAACCATAATGGATATTGGAAAGTTTAGTAAAACTTCTTATTTAGCCACAAGAACAAAATTGAATGACCAGCAACTTGGTGTTGTGGCACTTGGTTTTGTTTACAATCACAGTGTGGTTTCCAATTATGAAAGTACACATAGTGTATAAACAAGCTGTCAGGATAATTACCAGCGTGGTTCATAAAAAAATTACCCGTGGATTTTTGAATTGTCAAAATACTAACATTTTAATATATTTTTCTGCAGTATGTTTTTCAGGTTTTATTTTTTCATTTGTTCTTTCAAACAACAAATAATGAGTATTGAATATGCTAGACACTAATCTAGGGACAGTATACAGCAGGAGACAAAGCACACAGAATTCTTGTCATGGAGCTTAAATCAAGAAGGAGGAATAGACTATAAATAAATACTGGGTCATATGATTAGAGCTATGGAGACAAAGCACAGTTTGTGGCAAGAATGAGTTGTCTACTATTTTAGACAGGTTATTGGGGAATGTGTATTCATCCCACACGAACAACTTTCTCACCTCAGGCTTAATTTATCTTTCATTAGGTAGCAAATGTTTTTTCTCCATGTAAAAACTAATTAAAAAGTAAGGAGGAACACTATGTGATAATGTGTAACAATTGGTTCTACCCAGCAAAGGAAGTTTTAAAATTTAACAATTTTGTTCATGCGAGTCATGATTGCCCACATTTATTCTAAATGTTCAGAAAATTGTATAATGACAGTATTGTCTTTGCTCATTTTGATGGTTTTTATTATTGGTTTAGGCTCTAGGTTTGAAAATTTGTTTACTTGGTAAATTATTATTACAATTTTTTTTAGCAAAATTACCCTTTGTTAATGAAGATATAGATTTACATATGATAAAATAAATTTTTCGTATTAAATCCTGAGGAGCCATATTAAAATTTTGCATCTGGCCCCATTTTTACCGGAAGTGGTACAACTCTTTACTTCCTTTTCCCATTTTTATCATTCATGTATCATTCATTCAGCTAACAATTATTGAGCTCTTTTTTTTAAAATTTGAAAATTCTAGGAAGGTAAAACAGTTTTTCTTTTTTTTTTTGACTGGTAAGGGGACCACAATCCGCATCACGCTCAGCCAGTGAGTGCACAGGCCATCCCTATATAGCATCTGAACCTGCGGCCTCGGTGCTACTAGCACCACAATTTCCTGATTGAGCCACGGAGCCGGCCCAAAACAGTTATTTTATATACCAAAATATTTTATATATTATTATGTTATGTACCAGTAAAAAAGAAAAAAATGCTAATTGAAACATGGACTGGAAAATGGTTTCAGATTTCAGAGATGCTAAATTGTGGAAAAGCATACATCTTAGTGGAATATGGTGGAACTCTCAACCAGATAAAAGTTCGTAACTGCGAAGGTGGTTCTCTTCCACCAAGTACACAGCTTTGGAAACAGGTTCTCAGATCAGTGAGGCAGGGAAAGATCACTTCTGAAGCCAGTTGACTCTGCTACATAGAGATCCTTTATGGTTTCTGTGTCTGCTTACTTTATTCTACATCTGTTTTCCTGTTCACCCCTTCTTGCCTTTTACTCCCCACATATTCTTAGTATTTATTCACCAATGGTAAATGTTGAGCTATTAGTTTTATCTGTTTTCATCACCCTATACCTTTGTGTATTTCTTTCTGTCTTCTCCCATAGTCAGTCCAGCTGATGAAAAAAATTTTTTTTTGAGTATTTGTCTCACTTTACATTTATTTATTTATTTATTTATTTTAAATGATTATAGATATGGATTTATTCCCATGCAAACTATTCATGATATACTGTTTAAGTGAAAAAAGTTGACTTCTGACCAGTATATGTATAATTATGAGCCTTTCTTTTTAAGGAAAAAATATATAGGTATGTTAGTTATCTATTTTTTTTCTACATTTTAAAAACCATTAATAATTCCTTAACATAATCAAACATTAAACATGTTTAAATTTCTCCAATTCTCTCTCTCTCCCTTTCTTTCTTACAGTTGGTTTGTTTACATCAGGATCCAAACAAGTTCTGCCTGTTGCAGTGGATGCTGTGACAGCTGTCTCTTAAGTTTCTTTTAATCTATAGGTTCCCCTTCATCTAATTTTTTCCCCTTTACCCATAAAGTTTCCCAAGGTCTGGATTTGCTGGCTCCATGCCAGTAGTGTAGTTTAACATGTTCCACTGTCCCCTGCATTTCCCAATAATTGGTTGCTGGGTCCTGAGGCTTG